TGTTGTTTGTAAGTTTGTTTGAAACAAGGTTTCATGTAACCAAAGATGACCATGAATTATCCACATTTTGCCTCCCAAGTGCAGGGATTTGCCACCAAGTTTAGTTTGACTGGTCTTGCCTACTATATTCGGTGTAGGCTAAGCTATTTACACACACACACACACACACACACACACACACACGAAGCAGGAGAGACATGGAGAGCAATGTCACTAGAGGCAGCAGAGCTGGGATGCCAAGTTGCAGAAGTGACAGAGCAGCCAGCTGCTTGACAGCTGACAGAGAGTGCTGCTGAGCAGTGGGCAGGCCAAGCTGCAAAAATAGCAGAGCCTCTGGCTGTATGGACATCTGCAAAGCAGCAGCATTGGTGAATGGTAGCCAGAAGCTGCTGCTGCTTTTACTCAACAGCTGTGATAGTGGCCATAGTAACAGGAGGCCCTGAACTATTTAGCGGATCCGTCTAGTCAGAAACAAGAGAAGGAGGAGGGTGGAGAGCAGAAGCTGAAGGACAGAATGCTGTAAAGAGTCAGAGGGGAATTGCTGCAGGCTCTGTGTACTTGAAGTGTTCCCAAGAGCTGTCGAGACTACAGAACCAAGGGCCTCAGACACCCCAGGGCTGGGAACTGTAACACTGCCCATTGCCAAGAGCTGAGGAATCTTACTTTACAGGCTGAACAGGGTCACCCAAGAGCTGTGACACTAGAGGGCGCCACGTACTGCTGCTCTGACCTGGCATTGCCATCAAACATGCAGAGAAACAAAAAGCTGCCAAGGTTTGACCTTGGAGCAAAAGGACCCCAACCAGATGATTAACAACCAGGTCAGAAGTACCAGAAAAGGTGCTTTCCGTGGCGCATCTTGAGGGAAAGGTGAGCAAGACTAGGCCTTGGTTTGTGGGCACCACCCCTTCTCCGTTTGCATAGCCACGCATGCTTGATGAGTGCGCAAGAGCCCACAAGCCACTTTGCAAGGCTCATGGCTCCCTGCAGCCCGCTCCCTTCCAAGCAAGGATGGTTTTCTGTCAGGAGGTGAAAGGGGACACATTTCCTAGTCACACGGGTCCCAGAGGGACTTTCAGAAAAGGGCAAGAATCCCGGCTTCAGGTGAGT